TAAAACTGCACATTTTAGAGTGGCCTTTTATTGTGGGCAGCCTAAGGCACACCTGTGCAATAATCATGTTGTCTAATCAGCATCTTGATATGCCTCACCTGTGAGGTGGATGGATTATCTTGGCAAAGGAGAAGTGCTCACTAACACAGATTTAGACAGAATTGTGAACAATATTTGAGAGAAATAGGCCTTTTGTGTACATAGAAAAAGTCTTAGATCTTTGAGTTCAGCTCATGAAAAATGGGGGCAAAAACAAAAGTGTTGCGTTTATAATTTTGTTCAGTGTATATATATATATATATACATACATATATACTTTACTATTTACTCATCCGAAATGTTGTTTTAAAATGAGTAATTGATAACAGAATTTTCATTTTTCTGAGTGAACTACTACTTTAAGTTGTGCAGCTCTTACAAGTTTCTTTTTGTGTTATTGTGTATGTGTGTGTGATGATGTCATGGTATATGTGTGTTTATGGGGTTTTCGGAGGGAATGAGCGCACTCTTTCCACTGCAGACATTTATGACAGGAGAACCGAGCTGGAAAATCTGAGCAGCCTTCAACTCTGCAGGCAGCCCAGCCAAAATATCATCTTTTATAGAAGAAATGCCTGAAATTTTATGTGAAATGTCTCTTTATGTGAAATATGTGTGCCCTTCTCTTTTCCCTTCCCTCTTTCTCTCTCAGGTGAATCAGGTACGCAGGAAATGACCGCACAGGTGACGAGTCCCAGCGGTAACACAGAGGATGCTGAGATCATAGAAGGAGAGGACAGCACCTATAGTGTGCGTTTTGTGCCTCAGGAGATGGGCCCCCACACTGTCAATGTCAAATACAGGGGACAGCATGTCCCTGGAAGCCCCTTCCAGTTCACTGTGGGGCCCCTGGGAGAGGGAGGGGCCCATAAGGTTCGGGCTGGTGGTACTGGATTGGACAGGGGTGTGGCTGGAGTTCCAGGTAAGAGATAAGAAGCAGTATTGTTGTTAACTAAAACTAAAACTATTAGAAATCATTTTTGTTCATTGAAATAAAATAAAATATAAATAGTAGATGGAAAAAATTAATTTTAAATTAAAAAAAAATTAGCAATAGTGTTATTTTAGTGTCAAGATACTATTATAGTTTTTAATTAATATTTTTAATTAGTTTTTATTTTTACATTTTCTGGTGTCATTTTAATTTTAGTTAAAGTTTTAGTCTTTTTGTTGTTTCTTTGTCATTTTTATTAGCTTTTTTTAAATATAGTTTTTATATATTAGTTTTATACATTTTTATTTCAGTTTTAGTATTTCATTACTAAATGTTCAACTAAATGAAAATGAGAAAATTTGCCTTGGCAACTAGCTGAAATAAAAGAACTTTATATTTTATTTTATTTCAGTTAACGTTTATTTTAAAGTAACCATTTTTATGCTTTTGATTTTAGTTATCTATTATAACCATGCTTTTCAACAAACTTAAAATAAAGTTGAAGTACCTTAAAAAACTTAAACTAAATGAAAATGAAAATATAAAAAAATCTAATTTAAAATACTAATAAATACTGTGATAGTATATATATTAACAAAAAAACTTTTTTTGTGTGACTTTTAGCTGAGTTCAGTATCTGGACCCGTGAGGCCGGTGCTGGCGGTTTGTCCATAGCTGTTGAGGGGCCCAGCAAAGCAGAGATTTCCTTTGAGGACAGGAAGGATGGTTCCTGTGGGGTGACCTATGTAGTACAGGAACCTGGTAAGTGCTAATGCTAATGTTAGCGTAGTGTTTGCTTTAGTAGAGAAATTTTCCATTTAAATTTTATGAATAATTTTCAATTACACTCATTTATTTATTTATTTAATTTCAGGTGACTATGAGGTGTCAATCAAATTTAACGATGAGCATATCCCAGACAGCCCGTTCATTGTTCCTATTGCATCAGTGTCAGATGACGCCCGCCTACTTACCGTCACCAGCCTGCAGGTGAGTGATTCCAGATCAAACACGCTCACGCACTGAGTTGTGTGGAGAGGGATTGTTTTACTCTGTAGCAGCGGGACGGGTGAGATTCAGAGACTCTCGAGAGCGGATGGCAGCTCCTTTATCAACACACTCTCTGAGAGACTGTGAGAGCACTTGATGGAGAGCACAGGACAGCTTATCATGAGACGAGACAAGTGTACTTGCAGTTCCCTTCACGAAGAGTTTCTCAGGAAAGACAAATGAGCATGACGAAGTAGCAAATCATTTATGTAGGCCACTGTGAATATGCTTAGTGAGAAAGGCACATCTTTACATACTCCGTTTTAAACTTCTGAAGATTAGATGATATTCAGAAATATGTGGCTGTGTCTCTGCAGGAGATGGGTCTGAAGGTGAACCAAGAGGCCTCGTTTGCCGTGCAGCTGAACGGAGCGAGAGGGGCAATTGATGCTAAGGTGCACACACCATCTGGAGCAGTGGAGGAGTGTTACATCACTGAGCTAGACAATGGTGAGCATATGGGCACATACCCATGAATATAAAATGTCAGGGGAATTATTTTGTCTGTAATAAATTACATGATTTTCTGTATTAATATTCATATATAGTTTTATTTTAAATTCATATACATATATGTGTGTGTGTCTGTGTATTATTTAATATATTTTCGTATTATACCATTTTTATTATATTCATTATTTTGAATGTTTGTATTTATATATTTTCTCTAAGTATATTTATATTTATAGAAAATTCATTTTTGTTTTATATATTATTCTTTATGCAATATATTATTTTAAACAATTTATATAATTTTTTAATTATTATTGTATTGTATTATTATTTATGTAGGTTATATATTATTATAATTTATATTATCCAAATTACCCAATACGATTCATTATTTAATATATTATTTTATTAACCAAATT